TAGAGGTGCTCTGAAGAGCTTTGTAGCACAGGCTAACCGACGGGAGGGAAATGATGTCACGTGCCCACTAATGTCTCGGTTCTCCTGTTGGATGAATCTACGGGTCGTGGCTTGGTTCTGCGTTACAGGCAATGTCTATTGATTAAAAAGTGTAGAGCGAGAAAGGAGGCTTTACTTTCCGGTGTTATCAGAGTATCCGAACACCGCCAAGCACGTAATTGTTTGATAAAGATGGTGCAATCTAGTCATTTCGCGCAAGAGCTGCATCAGGTTAACGCTTCTGTACTGGATGCGAAGCGTTCCAGCTTACGAAAATTGTCACCTGTTTTGATTGGTGGCATTTTGTGCGTGGGAGGCAGACTTAGTTACTCAGTCATTCAAACATCCAGCTCTTTGGAGCCGACATCCAGTTACTGCCTTGATCATACGTCGCCTTCATGAAGTAGAAGGGCATTGTGGAACAGGGCAGGTCTTGGACTCTACTCGACTGCGATACTGGATTATCAATGGGACCGGCGCCGTCAAACGAGTGATTGGTGTGTGCTCTTTATGCAGGCGACGGTCCGCACAGATCGGTACACAAATGATGGCTCCATTACCGGCAGACAGAGTAGGAGTGGGTTGGGGCCCCTTCGAGTGCGTGGGTGTGGATAACTTTGAACCTTTTAAGACCAAACGCGGCCGTCCGCAAGAAAAACGATATGGCTCTATCTTTATCTGTCTGAAGACTACAGCAGTCCGTTTGGAAATGGCAGGCAACTTGTCGACGCTCCGTTGGTAGACGTGGCAAGTCCACCGATATCTACAGTGATAATGGTAGGAACTTCGTTGGTGCGCTAACGGAATTTTGGGATGATACAAAGCGGTGGAGTCAGAGGCATCAATATTTGGATATTATCGCGTGAATTCTGTGTCGCAACGGAAAGCTACTGTAGGACATCCATCATCTCCTTTCGAAATGATTTGCTGAGGACGACGCTGTGCATTGTAATGTGGTTTTGTCGTGCTACAGAAAAAAATCGTTCAGCTGCAACACCCTTCCGGTGCTACCAGAAGGAACCACGAGGACTGGGATACTGCCAGGTTGCCCAAGCCTAGACAGGGGAAGTCGAGAGGTGGAGGTCGGGTTGGAAGCACGGATAGTAAATTCGGTCAGTAAATTCGCGATCTAACCACTTGAGCCATATCGCCTCTGTCCTGCCATACACTGATCGGTGAGTATCGAGGAGACGTGAGCTAACCATCACATGCGAACATGGACGCTCTGGTCTGGAAAACTCCTAAGGCAGCAGAGATTTTGATGAGCATTACGGTTTGTGTATCTCATAAATGACTACTTACTTAATGTAGCTATAAAAAGAAGGTCATACAAAAAACTACGGTGAAGAAGTTTGGCAATTTGAGAATCACACAAATGACCTCTGTCGAGTGTACATTTGAAGGGAAAAAATTCACTTGATGTCATTTACTGTCAAGTCATTGGGTTGGAATTTCCCGTCCTACAACTGCCTCGCCAGTAGTTGAGTCCTGAAATATGTCGAAACTCCTTTGATCAAGAGCAATTTGCTGCGACCTCTTGATGCCCTGGTAACGCAGTTCGGCTGCACAGTTTAAAATGGCTTGATTTGTGCCACGCATCATAAATCAATAGATAGTGTTCTATCATGGGTGGCCGTCTATGGGTTACGCCTGCACTGAGCCTGCCAGACTACGCGATAGGGAGAAGACAGACAACTGGGGTCACGGCTGTATTGCCAGGACAAAACATAGAGAGCGTCTGCGTAAATATATAGGATGACCAAATGGCCAAATCTGGTTGTTCACTTGTTCGCTCCGTAAAGCCAATGGCGGTGCTTCGGTCGTGAACGTTCTCAGGCCCACCACACTGGTCGTATGTTGCTAAGCCGTGTTTGGTGAGAACCGCCAACTAACCTACTTTCCGGACGTGTCGAACCAATGGTGACCTTGGGGATGCGTCATTCCCTGCACATGTGTTTTTTTTTGTCTGGGCGCGCCCCGACAGGTAGGATTTTGTAAACTGATCACAGACTACGTACTGCAAAAGTCTCAATAACCCCCGGACCATCCAGATTACCGTTTCATCGAAAGAGGAGTAGACACGCGCACGCACGCACGATGCACACACACACACACACACACACACACACACACACACACACACACACACACACACACACACACACGGTCATTCGTTTTCATTTTGCCCGTCAGACGGAACATGACTCCTGTGGCTGATGCATTGAGTGGCACGCGTGTGCAGGATCAGAACTACCGCGAAAGGGTTGGATATTACGGGGACCATTTATATTTGAGAACATCAGAAACTATCCGAAAACTTCAATTCTAAATAGAATTATTTATTGCACCTAAACTGGTATCTCCTCCAAACAAAGCTGGACCTTCGATAATACCGACTCAAAAAAGTAACCCATGAAAATACGAAAACCTCGATGACTTAGCTATTATACTATTATCCATCCACCCGTATTGCGAAGCTACAAACGTGCAATGTGACCCAATCAGGTTTGAGCGCACGAGCCATTCACAAGTTCGTGCACAGCGGTGCACGGTGTCTAGCTGTCCTCATCTTCGTGTACACGCACTGAACACAGGAGTGAAGCGACAGTCACAAATCAGGATGAAGAAGCGTGAGGAATTGAGAAAGTCTGAACAAAGGACAATACAACATATGTTCTCCTCCTTTCCTGAATTCTCTCCCCCAGACCTAGCAGCTACCTCGTGTACTTCTCGTTGTTGGCGTCATTGTCACTAGGTTACTCGTCGCCTGTTCTACACGATAAGCAACGAGAAGCATTTTCTGACTGCATCGCCATTAGCCGCCAACTAATACTTGTCACTGTTGTAGCTTTGAATGAGCGGCATGTTCTACCGAGAAAACACACTTCAACGGCAATTGCACTGTACCATCTGAAACATCCGGCTACCTTTCGTGTGTGTTTGGTAGATTACAAATATCCCTTAACTCCGAGAATCGGGGATTCCTGTCATTTTTGGCTGTCAGTTACCTATACAAACATATGCGCGTAACACCCCAGCGCGATTCTATGGACACACGCACGCACGCATGCACGCAAGCACACACTCACGCATCAACTTGCGTCACAAATACGTACCGACCATGTCGAATAAGATGGCATCATCCGAGGTTTAGGTCGAAGCGTACAAACGTTTTCGAGGATTTGTGTAGTCAAAGTCGGATTATAACATTTTATTCGGCTACCCTGGGTTTCGAATTTTATACACCACTTGGTGACCAGACCACGGGGAGTTTCGAGAGTCCAGTGAAGCTGTCGTAGGTGCTGTCAAATCGCGAAACCTTCGTTCGCTTCCTCAAGAGGAGATTAGTCGGCGTGTGACTGAAGGAGATGGCTGACTCAGATCAGCATAATCGATGAGGTGACATTCAAATGAGGATCGAATGTGCATGCCGTGCGACACGTAATAATTAGTTTTTCAATGTTTTCAGACAGGCAAACATTCGTACTTGTCAAGGTGGCATTTCTAAGCTAATCCCGATCGCGATGCCCATTGGCAGTGAGTCCGTAGGATAACGATCGCCGCAACCAGCAGTTGTGCGTTTTGGACAGGAGAGCAGACAGACAAAAGGAAGAGTTGAACATTCACTCACCAAGTGGAACAACGTGGCTAATCCTAATGAAATTTATCAGCACCTACCGCGAGTAATTTGGGTCATACTCGGAAGAACTAAGCACAACACGATTACTGACCGCTAAGATTATCACGAACCAAAAATGAAATTGTGCTTACAGGCCTCACCGACTTCATCGACAACAGCAGTGAGACAAAGCTGCAACATGTTTCTGGATAGTTTGATCCATCAACGGATGACCTGCGCATTGTCACGGAGCTGCCCACAGAAATGTTGGTTGCTGTGAATATGCTGAGACATGCTTTCACATCTCTCTCTTCAGTGTGTATTCACAGGTCCATAAAGTACTGTGGTCATCTTATAAGCTTAATTACCCACATGAATACTGTCTAAACCGAACCCTCGACATGCTCTCATTCAGCGCGAGCAGTGAATGACCGGGATGAAATTAGGGAGAGAATAGACGGCAGGATTCTCCGAAAAAACTTGTGGATACATTTTCTGTTGGGAGAAAAAAACTGAACTGCTAACTTTAAGGTAGATATGAATGCTAGAATTGGGTAAATTAGGAGTCGATTTTTTTATTCCCCCCACCTCAAGGGTAACTGTGTAATATGACAACTTGAAGTGTATGGCCCATATTATTCAGATACAGATTCAAAAGACTCACGTATCAAGTCTGTTTCGCATTATTGCAGTGGAATGAAGCAGAAGAGTGGGAAAGTTGAATACACGGTTTTCACAAAACAGTGAGATCGACCGAGTCAAGCCCTGATTTTAGATAAGAGAAGACAATAATTGCTGAAGTCATCTAACAAGAATACTGTATCGCAAAACACTAGTACCAACAGTTTTCCTCATAGCCTTTCACAGACCCCTTAGTGGTGACGACTGATCAATCACGTGCCCATATCCTTTCGCTTGGGGACAATTGTCTGCGCTCACACCAGACCGATTGATCGGCCTGACAGCGCGACGACCCTGGCCAGGATCAATCTTAGTGACCAACCAATCAGGTGCGTGCTCTTTGGATGTGGCCTTCAGTCGTGTGCACCAATCATTATCGTAACCATCATCATCATCATCGATGCTCGTTGTCCTTTGTTCCGGAACGCGAGCGGCGGACCCTCCAGCCGCATTATTTGATGTGCAGTTGCACGGCGCTCAGTATTCGCACAATGGAATTGATTTTTAGAAAGTTATTACGTGTACCTGATGGAAAAAAGCAATCGGGAAACTGAATTGAGAGTACCGGTCCAACCGTTTAAGCCCCATTTAGGCGTCCCAGGGTCTCAGCGATGTTGGAAAATTATCCCACAAGACTTTTCAACCAGTGAACAATGAAATCTGGTGAGCTGCAAAAATATGAAGGTAGATTAGGACGGTTTTTGGTTTGAGCACATACGCAACAAAATGCAATATTTCAACGTAGGAAGTTTTACTCCACTCGTAAGGGTTTTGCAGCTGAGAGCATTGTGCGGATAATGGGCACCTTGTTGAAGTCATCTAAGAAGAATACTTTGCATGTGTTGCGCAAAACAGTAAGAAAGGAACAGGATTTCACGTGTGTAAATAGAACGCGAATCAAAATCTCTCGTGAAGCTTATGAACGGTGAATTAAGTCACGGAAATCTGCATCTTTCATTTTCCGTCAATTGGTTATCATCAGCTCTCAGTGAAGACTGACATTCTATGGGGAAAATCCGCGAGCGATTCCCTCGACTAATTGGAATTGAAATTCAGACTCCGTAAATCCGATGTAATATCAAGTTTATTTTTCTTACTGTAATAAATTTTCATCGTTGAAAAGTTTTTGTAAAAGATAGATCTGCCGAGGCTTACCCTGGTTGTTTTCTAAAATGAATGAAAATAAGATGGATTGATTGTACTTCCCTTGGACAGTTTGTCGAAAGAAATTTTGTTTTATTTGATCTAGTTCACGCGTAATTCCAACCTGTTTTTTGCCTAACCAGTCTCCAGGTAACAAACCTTAGGTTCGAGATGAAATGAGTGCAGAAGTTTGTGTGGAACCTTCATTAATAAATGTATTTTGGTTTGAGTGGTTGCCGGATATTTATTGTTCACATTCACATCACTCTCGTTTGAACCATTGTCCTCATGTGCTGGTGTAGTTATTCTGGTGAGACCACACAAAACGGGGAGGGGAAGCGCTCTAGTCGAGTTTCGCTCTTACCAGAGCTCACCTATGACCGTGCCAGGGTTCGAGTTCAGGACATCTGATATGCGAGGCGCCACCTGACTGGGAAGTCATGACAGGTGGATCAATCGGTCGTACAGTTACCGGGTCGTCGTTCGATCAGTCGGGCATACCAATCACATCGCGCAAGCGTGAACACGTTCGCCTGTGCAGACGTGAGAATTAAGAGGCGTGTGCCTCACATGTTAGAGACGTGCGGAGTTCAAACCCGGGCAAAGCCATAGAATAGGCATTGCCGATGAGCCCTAATGTGAGCGGAACTTGAGTCCACTGCTCCACTTTTGGCGTGGTGAATCTGTCCT